GTTCTCATTGCTGCTGCTGTCCTCAAAAAGACTGTGTAAATGAGGTACGTAAGAAATTTCAATATATACAAATAGTATATTGCCATTTGGTGATATGTGTAGAAAGTATTAAAATTGTTGACTTCAGAATGTTTAAACTTTTTTTTAATTCTATAGTTTAGTTGACTTAATTTCTTTTTTTTTTTTTTAGTCATACAAAAAGTTATCCAAGAGCAATTAATAGAAAGGAAGAAATTAAGTAAATATATGAGGAAATCTCATACTGTATTTTGTATAAGGAGGAGGGAGGCTTTCTCAATTTTGAATGGTTAGGAAAGTTTTACTTTTTTCAAGAGATAATTAAATGTTACCCCGCTCATTTAAGCTTTTATGAAGCAGATGCTAATAATTTTTAAGAGCTAGAAAATTGAACTAGAGAATTCTTTATTATGATTCACTTTTATTTTACCAGCAGATTAGTTTGTTGAATCTATATTGGGCAAAACATGTGCACATAGAATTCAGAGGAAAATGCATAGTCTATTGAGTATGTGTATGTATTTTGTTATTTTTTAGTTCCATAAGGCAACGTATATTATAAACACAATTTATATTAACTTATATAAACTCTTAATATACTTTTGGGGACGGAATCACAATGTTAATTTTTTTGTACACTATTTAAAATAGTGCAGAAGGGGCCTTTGTTTTTGTTTTGTTTAAAATAATATGTACATAATTTTACATAAGTCTGAAAGTATCTTAAATGGGTGGGTATACATTAGATGTTCAGCAATTACTTATGTTTAATACAGAGAAATATGGTACTGTCTCATGTCAAAAAAACATAATCTGATGCTTTTGCCTAACGGGCAATTCTGTGAGTTATAAAAGTAAGGCAAGAATATTTCTAGAGCCAGTGGGTTGCTGGCTGGAGGGGTGGAGTAAGAGGGTTTTGTTTCCTTAACTAATTAGTTTTGTTCTGTTTATGATACTAGCCCAGTTTAGCTACCTTAGCACTGTTTTCTTTTTGTAGGTATTTTTAAAATTTTATTTGGAATAGGTCAGTAATACTCTGCCTTTACTGGTCAGAATAGGAATAGAACAAGACCAAGTGGGGCTACATCAGGGAGTAAAGAAAAAGAGCAACATAATCAAATTTGGAGGCTCATTGGGCTCTAAGTTGATCATCTTTTTTGTTGAAGGAAATGAACTAAAATCAATTAAGATGAAATTGTTTATCATTAAAACATTTCCTTTGCTCTTTCTGGTGCTTAACACATCATGTTTTAGGATAATACAGACCAATTTTTTTTTCATTTTTTAAAATAATTACTTATTTAAAAAATACATTGAATTTCCTCTCTCTCATGCATATGGGTATGATGAGTATATGGAAACTATAATTGTCTTTATTTTAAACACCTTTCTATTTCTGTCTCAGATGAATTTCTGTAGGTCACTTTTCAAGGTCAGTGAGGTTTCCTACTCATTCCATACATTCTTTCTTCGTCGTCTTTTTTATATTCTCTATGTAATCTTGCTCCTTGACAGGTAATTCAGAATACCTGTGCTACATATTTTGATAAATTTGACTTATTGATGGTGACCGGTGAAATTTTTTATGTTACCTTTTTTCAGCTCTTGAAATTATTTGATATGTAAGTAGGTTGCAGTAAGTAGTCTTAATCTTTTAATACCAACTGCTTGGCTAGTAGGGTGTGTCTCTGTTTTATTGGCTTCTTTGGCACATACAATAGTTTTTTTAAAAGCAGCAGTGGCATCTGAATGTGCTGTAGCATTGGTATGGAATTTTCTATACCTAAATCTTGGCAAAGAGCTCTGGTAGCATGGTGCCTAACTAGAAGGCTGGTAGTTCAAACTCAACAGCCACTCCTCGGAAGGAAGGTTGGACAATCTACTTCAGTAATGATACTGCCTCGATACCAGGAGGGGTTGCTATGAGTTGAGTCCAACTCGACAGCACATAACAACAACAACAACAAATCTTGGCAATAGATTGGGAAAGCAGTATAACCTAGTAGATTTAAGATTTATATAATGCATGGTTACTGGTTTTGCTGTCATGACCTTATATCTCTCTGTTCAATTAGTATTCCTATTTGTAAAGTCAAAAGAGGATTATTTATTACTAAGGCTAACCAAGAATTTTATTGTAGTAATTTGAGATTGACAAATACCTCCTGAAAGTAGATTCACTGTGTATCTTGGTGATTATTTTTCAAGGTAATTCTTCATTTAGTTTTAGCCCTATTGTTATTAGTTGTCATTAAGTTGATTTCAGCTTATGGCAGGTGACCCTATGTGTGCAGAAGAGAACAGCTGCATTGGCTGATCTTTCAGAAGCAGATCGCCAGGCCGGTCTTCCGAGGCACCTCTGGGTGGGTTTGAACTGCCAGCATTTAGGTGGTGGTGGTGGTGGTTGTTATGTGCCGTGGAGTCGGACCCAACTCACAGCGACCCCTCACTGGGTTTCCGAGGCAGTATCACTACGGAAGTAGATTGCCCAACCGTCCTTCTGAGGGGTGGCTGGTGGGTTTGAACTACCAGCCTTCTGGTTAGCAGTCAAGTGCCTTAGGCAGTATACTACCAGAGCTCCCAAAATTCAGGTAGTAGTTGTCAACTGCTTAATTGTTTGTGACACCCACGGACAGTTTTACCCTAAGTTTTATTGTTTTTCGTGATTGCAGTTGAACTCAAAGGTGGCCGTAGGTTAGCAAATTACATAATTCACAAAGAGCTCTCAACTTAGGTATCAAATTTGATTCCAGCTGGTCTGAATATAGATAGATAACTTGGGCAGGTATTATCCTCATTTGCTAGATAGGTAATCTGAAGCTCAGAACTGCTACTTCTCGTCCATTTCACACTAAATTCAAGTCTTCTGTTAAATTCTTTCCTCTTTCTAATTCTAGATTGAAATAGAAGAGTCTTTTAATATACTCAATGTTTGCTTTATTAATACATTGATTTTCGCTGCCAGTAAGCCATATTCCTGTAGAATATATATTTAAGAAGTAATCTTTTTCCTCTTCATATTCTGTATTCTCTTTAACCACTTTTCTATAGTATTTGGACTGTCTTTACATGCAAAGGCCACTATGTATGAATAATTAATTTTACCAAGGAAGAGGCTTTCAGGTAATTTTCTGTCAGTTGAATGTTTTAGTATATAGTATTTCAGACAATTCTTTACATTAAATTATATAGGTTTTTTTTTACATGTTTGTTGTAGAAAACTTAAAATCTTCCATTTTTCTACTACTAGAGAAATTCCAGTTTATGCCATCCAATTTTTCTTAAAACACTTTCTTTTTTTCTTCAGCCTGAGTTTGAAGTACCAGCTTGCTCAATTTAAGTGGTCTTTTGATTTAGCAGCATTATTTTAGTTTATCTAATTTGTTTTATTAGAATTATTATGCAATGACAGACATGTTGGGAAAACTTAAGTGGATTTGGAAGAATAAGAAGCTTGAGGAAGATACGATTGATAATGCTTGTGGTCATTACTCAGAAATAAACCTTTGAAATTCGTGGTTTTAACTTTTGGGTCAGCTCTGCTGCACAGTTCCTTGCAGTGGAAAGTTAGCCTTAGGGGTAGAATGCTCCAAATCAGGACTTTTGCATAATACAGTGAGTAATTGATGAGAATTATCCAACCACAACTCTGGTATTTAAACAGCTTTTTAGAGTTAACAGTTTGATGTATTTCATTTTGATTTAAAGAGAGATTGCATGCGTATTTGTGATTTATCAAATTAATATCCCTAATTTTGTTTTACCATATCTTTTTCACTAAGACTATAGATGATGAGGAGCTCTGGTAGCATAGTGGCTAAGACACTTGCCTGCTAACCAGATGGCTGGCGGTTCAAACCCACCAGCCACTCCTCGGAAGGAAGGTTGGGCAATCCTACTTCCGTAGTGATACTGCCTCGGAAACCCAAGGAGGGGTCTCTATGAGTCGAGTTTGACTCGACGGCACATAACAACAACAACAACATAGATGATGAGAATTCATATATATATTCAGTAACTTTTCTAATCAACCTTCCACCTCCCACTTAACTATATTTTATGTGTTTATAAACTTACAGTGCTACTTGGGCATCATTTCAGTGTAGCTACTTCAGCTCTAATCCGTATAGTGACATAGATAAGGTAGGAATAGATAATAAAGGCTTTTTTCTCTCCACCCCTAACTCTCGATAGTATTATGTGGTTCTTATATCTTAATGTAAATTCTCCACACATTGCTGGAAATATTTTCAAGGAATTTACATTCTTCATATAAAAATTCTAAACTTACTTATCCTTGTGATAAATGTGATACTATTATTTTGTATTATATATAATAGTGCTGATGAGTTTTCTTCTGAATTTAGAAAACTTATCTTTCATGTGAGTCTAATATATCACTTTTTATTTTCAGTTTTATATGTAAAAAACAATTTAATCTTCAGTGATCATGCCAAAACAGCCTAAATCTTTAATTCCTTCCAAACTTGATGAGTTCATCCATGAGTAGTATAACATTGTAATGCTTGCCAAAAAAACAAAACAAACCCAAAGCCTGTGGGTTCATGCCCATATGTGAATTAACTGTTCAAAATAGTTAAATGTTGTGTTGATTAACATGTTAGGGAGCAACACTGAACAAAAATGTTCTAACCACGTAAAACATTTGGCCTTCTTCTTAGCCAATAACTTCCTTTGCCTGAAACATAGCAGATGTTAATACCAGCCTGAATTTTTCCATAGCCACATATAGAAGCCATGGACGTAAGTGACCCCATTATCTAATTGTACTTTGCTGTTTTCTTGTGTACCAAATACTACTCAGCTCTGACCCTGCATGGACCAGCTTATGCAGGCAAGTCATACAAAAGGCAGGATGTAAGAAAGTAACCTAGTTAGAAGGATTGGAGAACACTAAAGATGAAAGTTCAAAGGCCCTGCCTTCATTAATGTCTTTCTGTTGTGATTTTTATGGCTTTCAGGGAGTGAAACCTGCCAGTTTTGACAAAGTAGCAATTCCTGAAGTGAAAGAAATTATTGAAGGATGCATACGGCAAAACAAAGATGAAAGGTAAATTGCCTCTTTTGGTCATGGATGTTTTTTGAACAAAACCTAAAATGTAATGTCCTCTTGAGTACAATATTTAGTCCAAGGTGTATTTAATACTTTACTTAGATTAGTTTCTCCATTTATGTTATGTAACATTTAGGGATTCTTTTGAAATCATTCAGATTATGTATTGGAGTGTTGTAAAAATGTGGTTCAGTAGAGTTTAAGTAAACCAGAAATACCTTAAACATAGTTACTAGGTACAGAGAGAACTATTTACTTATAGCATTAGCATGATTTATAAAACTCAATAGAATTCAGGCTCTCTAACACAGATCTTATTCTTTAGTTCTTTACCCAAGCTAAAAGATGAAATAAAATCTTGGCTCTTTGAAATCAACTATACAGATCTTGATTTGCTGTCATTATGCCAGAACTGAAGAAGAGCAAAACATCAAAATTCCTTTGAGTAAAAGGAGAAGACTTCGCCTAAGGCTTAGGAGGAGCTCTGGCTTAGTCATTTGTACTAACAGAGGACTTTTTTCAGAGGAGTGGCAAGGATCTGATCTGCCATATAGCTAATTCATCACTAGTTAGGCATGGCAAGGGTCCAGTGTCTTGTTTTTGAAAAATAATCTACCTTCACCATCTCCCCTTACTCCCCAAAAAAGAAAAAGTAGGCCAGTCAGTACAAAAATAAATTGTAAATTGGGTGTAATCTACCACCTAAAGAATGTGAGCTATCAGGTGTATCAACTAAATTAAAGAATTCCATATCTTCACTTCTACAGTCTCATACTCTTTTTTCATAACTTTGTTGTTGTAAGACCTTAACATCATGATCTTTAAAACTTTTTAGTAGAAATTTAGTTTGAGTTTCAATTTTTATATACACTGATTGGAAAGGAGAGTCCTCGCTCGCTCTCTCTTTTTTTTTTTTTTTTTTTTGTTATAATCAAAGGAATATTTGTTTCCAGTCTTTGAACATATTACTGTATTTCTTTTCTGGATGGAACAGTTTACTAGATTACTGGTATTTTGAGACCATTTATCTTACTAAGATTGTTCCACAATCAGATTTATGCTTGCTCAGTACACAAATCGTTGAACAAGGAAGTAGGAGAATTTATTGGAGTAAGTAAAGGTTGCTACAGTAGAAATTAAGAAGTTCTGGTGGTGTAGTGGGTAAGGCATTTGGCTGCTAACCAGGTCAGTGGTTCAAACCCACTGGCTATTCCACGTGAGGAAGATGAGACAATCTACTTCCATAAAGATTTTTTACAGCCTTGGAAATCCAGTGAGGTCGCTATGAGTTGGAATCAACTTGATGGCAGTGAGTGGGTAGTAGAAGTTACTGAACTAGAAATCAAAAGATTTTTTTTTCTTGTCTTAATTTTACCACTTACAGCTTTTATAACTATGAACAAAATTCTCAACCTCTCTGAGTCTCCATTTCCTAGTAAGCAGGGAATTATATGTCATTGGGTCAGAAAAAATTATATATTTGAGGATTTTTTGGTTAGCTTTAAAACAAATGAATGGTATTTTGAAGCTGTAATATTCTGTGTGTTACTTGCTATTATTGGTATACAGTTAATTAATAGATTAAATCTTTGGGTTGAAAAATTATCACTATCAGGTCTTAATCATAAGTGAGATTAAGTTATGTTTTCTATAACCTGGGAATAAAACTCTGTAACCACAATTGAAATAAAGCAACATAGAAATTAGTTAAAAGCTACCTTTATTTTCCTTTTCACAGTCCTTTTCATTCTTCCAAGCCAAACAAAAATTAGCTACACCTAAAAATCCTCCTTTCAATCTAATAGGTTTTGTTTTTATTTCTTTTCATTTCTCTCTCTTTGGAAGATATGCAATCAAAGACCTTTTGAACCATGCCTTCTTCCAGGAGGAAACAGGGGTACGGGTAGAATTAGCAGAAGAAGATGATGGAGAAAAGATTGCCATTAAACTATGGCTACGTATTGAAGATATTAAGAAATTAAAGGGGAAATACAAAGACAATGAAGCTATTGAGTTTTCCTTTGACTTGGAGAGAGATGTGCCAGAAGATGTTGCTCAAGAAATGGTAAATTAACACTAATCAGCCATTTAAGAATGGATGTAGATCTATATACATTGGTATGGAAAGATATCTATGACATTGTTTGGCAGAAAGCAGTTTATGAACGTGTATATGGCATATCCCATTGATAAAAAAATTGTGTTGATTAATGGTCCTACATGTCATCTTTGACTAGTGGGATTACATAGGATTTTTTCTTTAACTCCCTGTTTTGCACTTTTTTTTTTTTAATAAGTGTTAGATTATAGTATAGTAAATGTTTTTTAAAAGTTATTGTAATTTGATGTAAAGATTTATTTATGTAGCTATAAAGCAAGAGAGAGGTGTGGAGGAAGGGAAAGAGAGAACTCGAATTTGTTCTGAAGTCATTTTGAAAATCTGTAAAGCTGAAAGACTAAATTTGAATAAGCCTCTTCACTTAGAATGAGACGTTATTTTTTTCTAAAAGAGTCATAGATATTGGTACATTTGATTAGTCCTCTGGGTAAATAAACGTAGGATCAAAAATTGTTTTTGCTTTTAAGGAAATTTTCAATTTATATCACACTTGAAGTATGTCAGACAGTTTACTTTTCAAAAAGGAAATCCTTCACCAATTTTAGGCTTATTACAGGGCCTAAAATATCCACTTACTATGCAAAGATATTCATAGAATATCTCTTAGAATTTTTAAGAACCATTCAATAGTAGACAATTCTGAAAAGGGGTCTGGTATGGAAGAGAAACTTGGTTTTAATTGTTTTTTTATTATTTTCTTTTAAGACTTCATACAATTACCACAATTATTTTATCTAGTTAAATGATTGCCTATTAACAATTTGATACAAGAGGAAAATAGAGTGAATAGAATAGAATGCCTTAGTTGGTTTAGAACTGCAGTTTTAGGTGCCCCATTGTTTTGTTGTAAGGAGTAAAAGCGTACTCACCAGAGTGTTCAGAAAGATCATGGAGGAAATGCATAATGCAAACTTTAATCATTTCACAGTTTGGGTAAGACCAACCCTAGGAGAGTGTCTTCTTCCCTTTCCTCTCTATTTTTCTCCAGTGACTTTTTTGTTTGACTTTTGCCTTATTTTATTTTATTTTCTCTCTTAATATCCTACTGCTTCCTAATGCACCCTCTTGTCCTATAGGTAGAGTCTGGGTATGTCTGTGAAGGGGATCACAAGACCATGGCTAAAGCTATCAAAGACAGAGTGTCATTAATTAAAAGAAAAAGAGAGCAGCGGCAGTTGGTGAGGGAAGAGCAAGAAAAAAGAAAACAGGAAGAGAGCAGTCTCAGACAACAGGTAGAACAACAATCAAGTGCTTCCCAAGCAGGAATCAAACAACTCCCTTCTGCTACTAATACCGGCATACCTGCTGCCTCCATCACTTCAGCTTCAGTTTCTACACAAGTAGAGCCTGAAGAACCTGAGGCAGATCAACATCAACAACTACAGTACCAGCAACCTAGCATATCTGTGTTATGTAAGTATTTTGGGAACTACCTAAGTACACTAGTGTTGCTCCCAGGTGACTTTTTATCTTCTTGTTCTGCAGTTTGCATTGGCCTCTAAGTTTTAAATGACTCTGAGGTATAATAACTTTGAAGTAGGTGCCATCTAGCTTTTCTTTTTTATTCTTATGTTCATGACTAATAGAATAGAAGAATGAAAAGTGAGAAAATGTGATTAGGATGTCAAATTTAACAGGTGCTGCATCTAGGAGGTTCCAACTAATAGATTTCTGTTTTTCATAATTATTTTAAAATGGACAAACTTAACTACTTAAAATTGAACCCATTAATCTGGTTCAGGTCTTTGGCAAAGCTGAGTAACATGTAGACTAAAATCTAGTGATAGCACTAGTTGTTGATTAATTACCTACTATTGAGAACCCAGTAGTCTCCAGAGTGTGACTTTGAAAGCTGTACCAAAATTGAGGCTGACTGACAAAATTCCATTTTCTTTCCTTTACTCTTCAGGCGATAAGATTCTGTGGTATGGAGGGAATTTTTTGAAAGACAATAAAACTTTTTCTCCATCCGGATCCCTCATTTATATATAGAAATGCACTGACTATAATGACTAGTATTCATATTTTCATTTAGTTCAGATCTGTGCAAAGAAAAAGCTAATTGTCTGAAATGTGATGGGAAAATATGAATCTCTTTTTTTGTGATTTCTTTTTCTCTCTGTTTTTTGGTGATCCATTTCTCCTTCAGCTGACGGAACAGTTGACAGTGGCCAGGGATCTTCTGTCTTCACAGAATCCCGAGTGAGCAGTCAACAGACAGTTTCATATGGTTCCCAACATGAACAGTCACTTTCTACAGGCACAGTCCCAGGACATACAGCTTCTGTTGTCCAAGCACAATCTCAGCCTCATGGGGTATATCCACCTTCAAATGTGGTAAGTAAATGCTTGAAAGAGTGAAAACTACAATGGAAACCAATAGATAATCTAAATTTAAATTCTTTCTGCTATCCAAGTAGCAACACAAGTCTGAAGTGGAAAATATAAGTGGTATTTTCTAAAGGAAGTTGGTTTATTATAAAATACAATTGTAGTAGTTTGATGTGGGGTAGGATATTCACATTTATCTGTGAGAATTAATTCAGCTTCCTTCACTGAATAGACAACTATGTAAAAGATTGAGACTAATCTTCATTTGCTATAAGGTAATGAATGCTCTGTATAGTTAAAACTGAAGCAATATAAACTGGAGATACACATATTTTGGGTGTGGGCATGAGGAGAACTTTTCAAAAAGCTTATTTATTAAAATAATTACTAAGTATTTTCTATAAGATTTCTTATTGTATAAAACAAAGGTAAGACCTTCAAACCATTATAGAATGCTGCATGTGAGTAATCTAGAGTCAAGGAATCCTTTATATGTATGACTGTGTAATTCAGCGCTTATGTTAATCATCAGTTGCTGTGCGTGTTCCTGCCTTAAAGTTTGTGTTGGACAAAAGTTCCTTCCCCAGTATATGTTCATTTGCTTTTTTCCTCTTTATTTGGTATCTGTTTTATTATTAATTTATTTTTAGGATGAACTTATGGGGATTATTTCCAGAAATATTTTATGCATGTGTATAGACACATATACACACATTATTACCTCATATTTTGCATTAGCCACTCTTGTTTCTCGTATAGAAAGTGTTAAAGCAGATCATCAGATAATACTCCATTTCTTTTACTGACTTTCTATGAGGTCTTCAGAAAAAATAAGATATATTATCTGCCTTCAAAAGAGTTAGAGAATAGCGGGTCACAGTATAACACTTATTTAGTGAGGTCTTTAGGCAAGCAGATTTTCCTTCTTTCTCAGAACGTTTTTGTGAGAACTCTTGCTCTTCACTAAATGAAAGTCTTTTCTATGTTAATTAAGAACCACTTCTGCTTGCTCAGGTCTTTTATCCTATAGCTTGAAATAAAAGATGTGTATTTGTTTCAGAGTCCATTCATCAGTCCTGCTTTGGCCAGGTCTCAAGATGAATGATGATAGTAACAAACAATATTACTAATATAACAGTTTTTCAACAGTCTACAGGCAGTCCCTGGATTATGAACAACCAGTTTACAGACAACTCATACTTGGATTTTAATATTATGTAAATTAGCCTTCCCTTTGAAACAGTTAGAGCTTTGGTGGCCTAGTGCCTCAGGACTGCTGACCAGAAGTTTAAACCCACCAGCCACTCCTCGGAAGAAAGATTGGGCAATCTACTTCCATATTGATACTGCCTCAGAAACCCAAGGAGGGGTCGCTATGAGTCAGATCCGACTCCAGGGCAATGTGTTGAAACAGTTAAACCAACCTGTACTTGGCAACAAATTTTTCATCACAGTCAATTTAGTTTGCAGCGTGTGCAGCTTTTACATCATCGAGAAAGCTTGGGCCCTTTTCTTTCTTTCTTTCTTTTTTTTTTTTT